TATCATTTTACAGGTCTTGACGAAACATAAACATTGACATAAAGAAAACCAAAATCGGCTCCCTAATAACAAAGTGGCGCCCTAAAAAGTTTTAAATCCAAATAACCATGAGGGTGGCAAAAAATTAACTTGCACCCTCTTTAACTTTGTTACTATATATTTGAGATATTTGAAATCGGTTTGCGGCAACTTGTTTGGATATGAAGGGCTACAATAATCATGGTCAGTGTTGAAAATTTTGCCCATAGGGGTAGTGGGGGTAGGGGGTAGCTCAAAATTTTCAAATAGCAAGTATAGTCGAGTTTGGTATCAATTTACAGGTCTTGACGAAACATAACAAATAACATAAAGAAAATTGAAATCGGACAATTAATAACAAAATGGTAGCTAAAAATGATTGAGACGATGGTTATTTAAAGTAATTTTGAACTGCCATTTTGTTAATAATTGTCCGATTCTGATTTTCTTCATGTTAATTGTTATGTTTTGTCAAGACCTACAAAATGATACCAAACTCGACGATACTTGCTATTTGAAAATTTTGAGCTACCCCCTACCCCCGGTACCCCTAAGGGCAAAATTTTCAAAATTGACCATAATTATTGTAGCCCCTCATATCTAAGAAGGTCGCCGCAAACCGATTCCAAATATCTCAAATGGTTGAAAAGGTAAGTGGGGGTGCAAGTTACTTTTCAGCCACCCTGTATAATTATAATATCATGAACACCATTTTTCACTGGCTGTAACCTCACAACAGTTTCAGACGCTATAATGTTGCACCTTAATTCCTCATTAGACAATTTCATAACAATGACCGACTTGTTCCTTTGCTAACCGAGTCAGTACCGGCGGCGTATTTCCTGCTTCCACCGTGGCCACCAACAAAATATCTGACGCGCCGAAAATCTGAATCTGATTCTGAATCTGAATCGGCGTGCACTCTGGAGGTACCGTTAACGCTAATTCATCTACGGAAATTTAGGGGTGGTGAAATATAATTAAAGTGAATTCGGCTTTTATTCTTGGACTGTTATGAACTTCCTCGTTTATATGGGCGTGCGGCTTCAGTGGCAGCAAATAATGTAAATAACATAGCAATGCGGCATTTCCAAAAAGCACAAAATACTGTAAATTCGATGTTACGTAAATATTGACGTTTACATGCATTGTTAAAAACGTATCTTATAAAGGATGATGTGATCTAGATTAAAAGGAATATGACCTTTCTGTCATGACGGTAGCTGCTTAAATAGTATTCACTATTTGTGCCTTTTTTTACAGACGAAATGTCGTATGATTTTCAATCATGTTAACAACCCAGTTGGCAACGGTCCATAATATAGGCAACTGCAAATAATTTGTCAAGATAGGTACCATTGTAGGCAAGGGTTCTGTGTTTGGATGTTATTAGACACGATAAGAACACAATGAACTTCTGCAAATGAATTATCTGTTGGAGAAATAGAAGCCGAATTTTAAATGACACAATGCGAGTTCGAGCATTTTGTAACTATAGGCCTATGGGTAAGTGACATATAGTATTTTTTAGGCTGCTGCTCAGTGCAATTTAAGAATATACTTTTAGAGATTAATTAAATGGTTTTTGTTGCTGAGAAGCGCTAGTAAACATGCACAACCGATTTCGTTATTCTAATAACATTCAAAGGCTCTCTAAGAGTTCAAATTCTTATTTATAAAACATATTTATATTATGTTTTCACTAAGCTGAATGATAACATCAAAGTAACCTGTTTGAAAAGTTTGTAGTAAATTGCAGTTGTACAGCTTAATGACTTTCTAAATCATCTACATAATTCTACATAAATATTGTAAAAGGTTTTATCCAGTTTATGTAAACTACTAATTTAACAAAATATGGACACGGCTCAAATGGACAACGTGCCCTTCTGCACTTGTTTTATTTTGTATTGTATTACACAATCGAAGATTTTTTACAATGATTGAAAACATGTATGACAATAATCTCATGAACCTATGATGATCTGGAGAATAATAGGCATAGACAAAATATAGGCAAAAGTGGTGAAAAAGGAAGACAACAACCCGTATAACAGAATATATAAGATTGTCCAATAATAAATTATTGTATGATTTCTGTGATGACAGGAATTTCCATTGATTTCGTAATGAAACGTTATATTGCAAAACATGACATGACACAGAAGAAAAACAATTTTAAAATCAGAAAATAACATTGCAAATACTTCTTTTGGACAGTTCAGTAACTCCCAATTAAATTTGTTTTGTTTAAAACACAGTTTAAAAATAACGAGCTGTTTCATTAAAAATATACAATTCCAACATCAAAATTTTATTATACACGATAAGAGCAGATATTTCTACATAAATATTTGATATGTGTAGAATAATATGATAAAATGTAGACAAAAGTACTGAAAAAGGCAGACACCAAACCCGTAAAATATATATAAGATATTTCAATAAGAAATAATTGTAAGAGTTAATGTGATAAAAGGATTTTCCACTGATTTGGTAATGTAACTTAATATTGCAACACATGACATGATACAGAAGAAAATCCAGTTTTAAATCAGAAAATAACATTGCAAATACTTATTTGGTAGAATCAGAATTCAGTAACTTCCAATGAATGTGTTGTTTCAAATACAATTAAAAAATGAACAGCTGTTTCATTAAAAAGTATTATTCACATGGCCAAAATGTAAACAACTCTGGGGAAGGATCTTTAAAGGCTTCTGGGGCAGAGCCCTAAGGGATTTTGCTTAGTTTTTCTTTTGATAACTCATCTACAGACCAAGACCTTTCTTTAGACACCTCTACTAAGTTTCTACGCCCATCCGTTCTCTCAAATTAGTGGGGACAACGTTTCCAATTAAATATTTAGATTCCCCCATGTTAATCTTATGGGAGAAACTCCAACTTTGATGGCCTGTGGGGCGAATCCCGAGGACTTTTATAACAGGAATTGTTGAAAGGGGTTGTCTACACAAAAAATACTTTATTTTGACAGGTCGTTTGTAAAAATCCGTCCATTATTAACGGAGGAGTAGTGTTTTGTAGAAATCGCCTTCACGTATTATATATAAGGATTATGCAAAGTGTGCTAACAGACACACATATAATATTCATAAAGTCAGCACCATAGTTGATACCTTATAATGTGCTGCAAATGTTATTATTGTTATCATACAAAATAAATAAAATAAACATCAAAAGTTGGGGCGGTCTAACTTCATTGTAGGCTATCCATATATCAACAATCGTTTTATTAGCGTTAACAGTTAGTTCCGCGTGAGTTCCGGATAGTTCCGTCAAAATTTTCGTTAGTTCAAAAGAATTCATGGTAAAATAAAGAAGTTATCAAACATTATATATATAGATAGATGGTTTCAGCACAGATGGGGTTATATTATCTGTGGTTTCAGCCTTCTTGCGTTTTTTCCCGGGTGAACATATTTTTGTATAGTAGCACCACGTTTTCTTAAAACCAGAGCTACAAGGACCGTCCAGAACAAAACAGAACTCACAACGCGAACACAGGAGACTGCACTGAATCAAATGACGTGACCACATGATGATAACCCACTTACTAAAACAAAGATATGAGTAATTATGTTTACAACAGTTGTTTACAGACAGACATCGAGGCGAGGTGCCCAGATGCTTGGCGCCTGAAAATAGTGCGCGATACCCTCCATAGCTGCGTATCGCTCTGGCTCAAGGGACTTCTTTACTCTCGCAGACAGTAGTTGAAAACGCTCTATCCCAAGCAACCGCTGCGATTTCTTACTACACAGCGGGCGAATTAGAAACCGCAGCGGGAGGTCAACCGCTATCGCTATCGCTCTTGGTGCATAAACAACAGCCCCATTTAACTCAATGGTGTTAGAAATCACTCCCGCTGTCGCTACCGCTCCCGCTCTTGGTGCATAAACGGGGCCTAACCAAGATTAGATTACAAATGTACCGCACCAATTGCACCAGTTGCGAGTAAAGTCCAATGGTCTACAGGATGTATCGCTGCCACCACTACTCTAATTAAAGGAGAGTAGCAGGACTACTAACATATGTATAGAACATGCATATGTTAGTCCTATATATGTTAGTGTATAGCACATGCAATTTAAAACCTTTTTTATTCTAGACATTTTTTGATAAACCCACCCGTTTAGGAGTTACAGCCTATGGAAAAATGACTTCCGGTGTACATTTCACATCATGTAGCACCTAAACAAGTAAGTTAGAACAAAAATGAAAGGAGTTAATAAGTCTTAGAATTGCCGCCGTTTTTGAAATAATAGAATTAATATTTTTAACGTATTTTATGGTCTTTATGGAATGTGGATGCAATTTTAAGACTTATTTACTCCTTGCATTTTTGTAAAAACATTTTTGTAAAAACATTTAACGATACTTTTTGTTGCAGATAAATACAGATAAATGCTGTAATTCCATCTATAGGTCCTAATAAAATTGTTTTAGGCCTAGGTGATTAACAGAGTTAATTTAGAAGGTACGTAGGCCTATATATTATTGTTTGGATTTTTGATATTTTAGGTTAGGTCTACTTTTGATTTAATACAATCATATGTTTAATAAAATGTAAAATAAATACATTATTTTAAATAAAAAAGTTTTACATTCCTTGAACAACTGATTTGTTACTATTTTAAAAGTTCCTAATCAAACCATGCATTAATTATTTATGATCAGTTTTCTTTTGTTTTTAAATAAACTGAATATTAGTATAATGCCTTTGGCCATTTTGAATTTGGAATTCAGTATTAGTATTCATTCTTTGAAATTTTGAAAGTGGTAGCAGAGATGAGGGGTAGTGGTAGGGAGGAGGGGGGCGCGAAAAAACGTCAGCCTACTGGCGACTAGACCCTTAATCAGACCCTGCATGTGTAAAGTGTAGATAAGATAATACAGTAATTTCGTTTAGTACATTTGGGACCACTGCTAGCTTCGGAGTAGGTACTCTGTTCAGCTCAATTCAGTATCTTACAGTTAAGTACTTAGTTCATTGTGATCGAGGTGTTATGTAAGTTACAAGTGAAGTGAGTGCAATTGCGATGGATAGTGACGTAGGCCTATCTGAAGGTAAGTGAATTTGATTACTCGTATTCATAAAGTAACCTAATGATAATGTTTTTTTTTTATTTTGTATTTGCATGTACTGCTTTAATAATTTGATTACATTGTTATATTAGTTACAGTATAAAGGAACATATTAATTGGAAGTACCTATTACATAGAATTGTAAAGTACCACTAATAAAATAGGTACAGTATATTGAATGTGTTCATTCAATCAAAGTTAAAACTAAAGCAAATAATGTTAATCAGCTTATTTAACTTACGAGAAAACTGTCAAGCCAGTTTTCATCCAAAGCTACGGATATTCTAAAATGTTATTGATCTTTATAAATAGGAACAAAACCAAACTATTTTAATACTCTTTTCGAAATAAATAGAGATTTTTATATGTTTATCTAGTCTATTTATATTCAAATTTATAAAGTCCTTCTAGTGAATTTTCCTGAAGGGAAGTAGCTATTACAAGCACTTACCGGGCACGGTAAGACCTATGCCTGGGACCGATTTACTTTTTCATTTTGATGTGATATATATTATCTAGTTATGTATTAATTTGTTGTTTGTAAGAAAAGGTTTCCCTCGTTTTTAAAGGGGTGTACGGGTGGTTTTGGACACCAAGTTTTAAATTTTGAGAAAACTCACAAAATAGTCGAAAACTACTGAAAATTTTAAGTTCTTCGAGAAGTTTGTTTGGTGGGGTTAGGTAATGTCAGATGACACTGTTAAAACCCAACATTTAATATAAAATTTACTCATTTGGGCAGTGCTAAAATGAAGTTAGGTCGTGTTTAACTTGGGCTTTATCAGCAGTGATCTAGTGATCTACTTACTCCAAGAGTTTTTTTAAACCATTGGCATCTTGCTTATTATCATTGAATATCTATTATCACTTTCTTGAGACAGCGACGCACACCTAGAAGCGTATTTTAAGCTGATAAAATATGTATATATATATATATATATTTAATAATAACCTAACCTAACCCAACCAAACTTCTCAAATAGCTTAAAATTATTTTTTACTCAGTCCAATAGAATGTGTGAACCCAAATGTTACTTCGTTTTACTTCAGTTCGTTTTAGTACTTCTCAATTGGGTTGCATAAAAATAAAATGAACACCATGTACCATTAGTTTTCATAGTTTTTTTTTTTTTTTTTTTTTATTAACGAAGTAAAATCCAAATTTGAAACTAGATTATATTATGTTTTATGGACAAAACTAAAACTTTTATGGACTATTTCCAGTCTGGGCGTCAGCTAGGGGAACCTGGAAATTTGGGTGGACTAAGGTTTTTGACTGATTCTGAATCAGTTTTTTGCGCTGATTACGAATATGCCGGGTGCCACCTTGGCACCCTTGGGTAAACGCCACCATATTGGAAAAATTGCGGCCAAAACTGGTTTTTCGATAAATACTCGAAAACGGTTAGTTTTAGAGATATTAATGTGGGGACATAAAATGTAAAGCGTAAAAAACTACACATAAATTATACCTACGCTTCTTTTGTAAATCTCACGGTTTAAGCATAATTTTGTGAAATTGAAGTTATTATTAACATAAATTTGTAATTTAGTGCCAATACCTATGACATATTACATTCATTCTTAAAAAACTGAATTATATTAAGCGATACACATTTGTACAAGTAACCTTTGTTAAAGATATTGTTGTAACATATGTATGTCACCAACATTAACACTGTATGTCTCCACATAAATATCTCTAAAACTAACAGTTTTCGAGTATTTATCGAAAACCCAGTTTTGGCTGCCATTATTCCAATATGGCGGCGTTTACCCATATTAGTAATAAGCACAAAAAACTGATTCAAAAAACCTTTGTCCACCCAAATTTCCAGGTCATCGTTAATTACAATGGGTCGACGCCCAGACTATTAACTCAAAACACATCTTAAATAAAAAAGATACGCATTTCTAGCAATATAGACAGAAACGATGCATTTATTTGATACTTTTACAGATTCAACGGCTACAGTGAAATATTTAGAAGACCAAGTGGAATACAAATGTCCACTTGGTAAAATAAAAAACCGATTGACCTTACAGCCAGGAGATAAAAGAAATGTAAAATGGAAGGATGGGTTGTTCTACGAAGCTGAAATAATTAAAATCGGTAAGTGTATATTTAAATAATAACAGATTTTACAATTTTGTTATCTGACAAGGTATTTACATTCGGATTCAATGTCCAATATAATTTGATTTAAATCTACGAGTCGAACTTCAAACCATAGACGTGTTTGGTTTGATAGTTGAAGTTTTTGAACGGCTCTGTAGCCTAATAATGTTTGTAAACCCTTAATTCCTTGACATAATTATTTCAGGGATTCGTAATTTTCAAATTTTACATATTTGTTATGTTTTGACATAGCTTTGTTTCAAAATCCTAGTCACCGCTTATTAAAATAAAGCAAATCAATCAAGTATGTATTCAAAAATTGCTTACATTAGTCCACCCTCACAGTGGCTATTAAAATGTGTAACATGTTTTCTATCTCATTCCGTTTTCAGTCTATTTGTCTGTATGTGTTTTTACAAAAACATTCATAACCCCTTGACGGTTTTGAGCTATAGGGTTGAAATTCTGCAAAATATGTATATTTATTCTTGGTGCGTACGCAATTACGTAATGTTGATTTAACCTTTTAACCTTTTTAACCGTTTGAAAATGGCCGCTATTTTAATGTTTTATGCTATGCTAAACAACCCCTCTATGAAATACTTCGCAACTGCAAATTTATCGTTGCCTCTTTTACGGAAACAAAAATCCCGTACAATATCCTGCCCCTTGTGACAATTTCTCATCACGGCTACTATTAAAAGGGGGCCTAGTAGTGCGGCCTTGGCCTGGGGCGAGCACAATTCGAGTCGTATTCCATACGCTTGTTCAGATTAATTGTCAGAACTACAACGTTTTCTGAATCTTGCTTAATGTACTACATTTTCAACTTTAACAAAATCTGGATTTCATCCAGGGTGAACTATGACATTTTGCATCAACCTAACTATCTTAGACCTCTAATAAAACTGGCTATGTATTGGTGTGTGTTTACTATTGTTGTTTAAATAATGAATTAAAATAAAATAACCATATCGGATTTCTCGTGCAATCATTGTAAAACAATGTAGTTATCTTTTTTGTAGAAACTGATGGCAGCGTAACAGTTAAATATGCTGAAGATAAAGTGATCCACAGAACCACTCTACAATCTGTTGAGAAGTGCACACTACAGATAGGGGACATCCGTCATGTAAAATGGACAGATGGAAAATACTACCCTGCTATGATAAAGAAATTAGGTAGGAAATCTGTTTTTTCGAGCGTGATCAATAACTATTCCAATATACTTCAATCATGTAGGTAAATTAAAACATATAAACAATACAACTAAGGTAAATGATATATTCCTAATTCTTTTGTATTTTTTTTTTATTCAAACTAAATTCCTTGTAAGGCTGTGCATACGATTTGTGATCTTACAGCGCCATGCTTATAGCGCGACACGCTCGTAGTTACTGCACTGTACTATTCTTTTTTAATAGTCCTGTATACTGTACTAAACTAACAGGGTCACTTATTAATTTTTAAAACTTGGTTGTGAATTAAGCTGCATCACTTTTTTTACAGCTTAAGTGAAAATTCCGTTAAACATGATAAATATTCCCTAATCTAAGGTTTGTAAATCTTAAGAATTGAATTTAAAAGACTTTGGTTTTATTAACCACTATGCCACTATTTAAAAGACTTTGGTTTCATTAACTACTTTTTGGAATTACCAAAAGGTATGATCATATGTGAATAATGATTCATGTTCTGACTTTTAAACATTGCTTTTGTGTGTTGTTATGACAAAATTTAAGAATATAAAGTTTTATAAGAAGAGAATAAAACAGGTTTTTTTTATTAAATTTGCTCTTTGAAACATTAAATTAAGGAAAATTTATAATGTTTTCAAAAATTTTCTTTAACTCGTTAAAACTTAAAAATAATATTCAAACGGGCTTCACAACTTGAGCAAACTAGGTGAATTTGACATCAAGACTCCATGAAAGTTAGTTTTAACTCCTCCTAATCTAAAAATTGAATAATGCGACACGTATTATTGACTCTCAACAGCGCCCACAACTAACTCAAAACATCGAGCGTAGAACTAACTGGAGCGTCAAACTACGATTTTGGTGCTTGGGCAATCGACAATCTTAAGGTCATAAATTATTTATGAGAAGCCCTAGAGTCCATCCCACTAGTTTCCTGAAGTCCACAGCAGGCATAGGCCTACAGGATGGAAGGACGAACGTTCCAAGTAGACTACGCTGTACGAGCACGATATTCCCCCATTTTCCCTGGTGTGCCACGAGCATGGCGCTGTACAACAAATAAAATAAAACTGTTGAAACAATTTTGTATATTGAAGCCATTATGCATGATTGAAGGATAAACGGAGACCATTCCACAAAAATGTTACAAATGTTCATATTATTTTTATGAAGAAAAGAAATTTGTTGTTTTATTTTTTATGGATATATCTTGTTTGCAATTTGATTCACTTATTTCTATGTTTGCTGTAGCTTAAGGGTAATATAACTTACATGACTCGGCCCTATCACACTACAGTTCTTACACCATTCGATTAATTAATCGAAGCAACCTCTAATATTTTATACATATTTTTGATTTTATGAAGTACCCGTAAGCTTGTGCCCGTCCCACGAGGGTACTTTGGCCACGTTTGCATGTGTATCAAATTTATAAACCTTTTGGGGTCTATAAACTGTAAATTGTATAGAATTGTTTAACAGTAGGCCTACTAAAATAACGTGTATTAAAAATTAAACTATACCAAAATCAAAAGCATTGACTTGTAAACAAATGCAATTTAACGGAAAATAATTTCTAATTCACCTTAAGGCACATGAACATATTCAATGAACATTTTCCAATGAACATTATACAATGAACATTTTCCTGCCTTGCGCTCAAAATTAAATTTATTTTGTTTCCACTGCAAAATTGTTTCCCAACCAGTAATTTAAATTTCATTAAGGCTCATTTACTTATATTACGCGTTATTTCTTAAAATGCATTTTTTAGGTTCAGACAAGACAGCTGCTGTAAAGGGTGATAATTACAAAACACCTGAATCTCAAGCTGAATCAACTATACCTTCAATCTCATTACATAATGACAAAGCGAGCAAAGTGATCATAGCTTCAGGAATGAATGAAGATTTTGTAATACCTAACAATCATCCAGACTATAATACTAATAATCAACATGCATCATCGCCTACCTTACATCACCTACCTGACCTTTATGAAAAGAGTTCATTACCTTCGACCTTCTCAGAAGATAATAATGAAATCCAAGACAGTCCATTTAACGACCAACCTGTAACATCACCCACCCTCGAACATGAATCCGTCAGAAGTGGGACAGATGAGACACCCTCGGAAGAAGACGACAGTGACAACGACCCCAAATTTTGCGCCAAGAGTTCACAAGCTTCTTCGACCTCATCAGAGGATGATAATGCCACTAATGATAAGATTGAGACGGGAAGTAAGAATATTTGTGAAAACTCTGAGAACCCTGACTGCAATATGGACAATTCAACGATACGACTACCTACACTAGAAGATGAATACGACATGGAACATAACATAATTGATTCTCAAACAGATGCTCAAAAAGTTGTTGTCGCTCAAACATCAAACCTGAATAATAAAAGGTCTTGGGACAAAAAATTTCCTTGCATATTTTGTAAATCTTTTGTCACAAAACTTCCTAGACACTTCAAACAATTGCATAGCCAAGAAAAGGACGTAGTAAAATTAGAAAGTTTGCCTCCATGTGATCCAGAAAGAGTAAAGATCCTAAATCGCTTAAGAAATGCTGGCCTGTACCTTCATAACTCCGAAGTATTGACGAATAAAAAAGGCACTTTGATCCCTAAGTACAGGAAAGTAACAGCTACGTCTCCTTCAAAACTAATCCCCTGTGTCTATTGTAATCAATTCTACACTAGGAAAATCTTATTTAGGCACAAGAAAATATGTGAAGGAAGAAATAAAACAAATGCTCCTGTTGGAAGGGTGATAAATACGGCACAGTATATGTTACCTACATCCTCAGTAGCCGACTACAGAATACTATTAAGAAGATCAATTATTGCAGGCATGAGAGATGGGCCGGAAAAACATGAAATAGAGAATGATGACACTATAATGCAGTTCGGAGCGGAAATGTTTGAAAAGCTCGTTAGTATGCCTGGCAAGGAAAACCACATCCGCAACAAACTTAGAGAGCTAGGAAGATTTATGGTTTGCGTAAAAAAAAGGAAACCCTTGATAAAGAACTTATCTGAACTCTTGAAGCCAGAAGAATTTAACACAGTTGTCGATGCCACAATGGAGTTGGCTGGCTTTGATTGTAGCACTAACCAATTCCAAATTCCAACATTGGCTAAAAAAATTGGTGAGTCAATTCAAAAATGCGTCGCGATAGAGAGAAAGATCGCCATAATTAGCAGAAATGAAATTAGAAGGAAGGACATCGATGATTTCATGTCAGTATTCGACGTAGATTGGGGAACGAGAATCACGTCTAAAGCTTTAAATACGCTATATACAGCCAAATTCAACAATTCAGATCCACTACCTGATGCTGAAGACACTAAAAAGTTATCGAGTTTTATTATTTCTGAGAAGAAACGTTGTTTGGATGCTATAGAGAGAGATGTCAACTCCGATACTTACACGCAACTGTTAAAAATTACTTTGGCCTGTGTTATAGTATTCAACAAAAAACGAGTAGGTGATGCGCACAACCTAGGAGTGACCGCGTATATAACAGGAACGAGAAGTTGCGAAACCAACGATAATATAGTACAACATCTAAAAGATTCTGAAAAACATTTGATTGGTAAGTTAACCAGGATTGAGACCAGAGGAAAGCGAGGGAAGAAGGTGGCGATTTTGCTAACGCCAGAACTGAAGAAAATGATGGATATATTATTGCACGAAAGAACGCGTGTTGGGGTAATCGCAGACAACAAACATTTCTTCGCAATACCAGGAACGTACAACTCACATTATAGAGGATCTGACATTATAAGAGATGTAAGGACAAAGGCTAAACTGAAGTATCCCCTCAGGATAACAGGAACGAATTTAAGAAAAGAGGCTGCTACAATAGCAGCTGCAAGCGGTCTCAGCGAAGCTGAAGTGGACATTCTGGCAACATTCTTAGGTCACGACAAGTCTACTCATAGAAAATATTACAGGCTACCGGAAGAAACTCTTCAAAAGGCTAAAGTTGGACACTTTCTTCTAAATATCATGGAAAATCCCGAAAACAATGTGGGGAGACCTTTAATTAATCGTGAGCAAACAAGTGAAGTAGAAAACGCTCAAAATTCGTCCGAAAACAGTATGGCCCTTGATGACCCCGTGACTGGGACCCATGGTTATGAACCAACAGACATTGACGAACCCATCCCACCGACATACATAAAACCGAAAAAATGTCCAAAACCAAGGCAACTATGGACGGAAAGTCAAAAAGAATTATTAAAAAAAGCCATGCAAAAGCATTTCTTATTGGGAACTTTACCCGGAAAGATTGAATGTGAACAGTTCTTAAAAAAGAATAAAACTCTTTCAGAAAGGAATTGGAGGGACATAAAGTATTTTGTAAAAAATCATTTAAAACGGTAGTTAATTGTTAGCAACTTATTTTGAAATAGTAAAGCTACTTTGGTTTATATTGTCATGTAGTATACCACATTATTGTAATGTGGCTTTAATTGTCCGTGATTTTTATTATACTATTTTAAATGTCTTTTTTAAACTCGAGGACTTAAAGTTCGAAGTTGTGTATCTTCGAAGTTGAACAAAGTTATGTTGAGTATTCAAGATGGATACTTATTGTTTGACAGTAAGACCACTTTGTTCTAAATCTAAGATATTTCATTATACTTAAACATTATATATACATATGCATTGTCTTAATTTTATATTGTTCTTTTCGCTCAATTTTTTTATTATAAATTTCATCGTGGTCATTATCACTAAACATTAAACCAAATTTTGATGTGTTGCATAGTTTTCTTATTGCTCAGTGTGTTGCAGTATTAGGTACAGTATAGGCCTAATATACCCCGCCACTTTACGTTTAATCTGTACGAGGATGTCGTTATTATACAAATGTAAATTGGTGGATTGACATTAAAACACGATATAAATATATTTAATAAATAAAAAAAATACAGTATTAACAGATTATTTAACTTGATATTATTATGGTTAATACCTGCTAAACGCCATGCAAAGCTACTGAAAATTGATGCAGTTTGATGTTAATTGGGTTTCTGTAGTAAGTTAACGTTTATTTAACACATAATTTAATATACTGCACTACTTGTTCGTTTTATAATTACTATGTATGAGAATATTTGTGTGGTAAAAAAATACAAATTTGATTTTACAAACTAAATTTATTTACTTATCCATCAATCCTACCAATTACAAATGCACTGTTTCTGTTCATAAATACTGTACTAAATTTAAAAATTATAGTTTTTGAATAGTGTTTATGTCTAGAAATACTTTTCATTATACAGTAACATGACAGTACTAATAAATAAACACTAGTTATGTAATTTCATAAAAACAAACCCATATGAATAACATAAATGTTTATGTAGTTGCCTTTAGGCCTATACTCTGTTTGACAATCTGCTTAAAGATGAGTGGAGCTTGTATTATTTTAGGATGTTTCGGTCTTCATTCAATGAACTTTTATAAATCGTTTAGGATTGGAATCGAAAATGTTCGGACTTTGTGTTCAAAAATCATATCAAATGACGCAATTCAGGCCAGATCCGATTAAGAGACAAAATACAGACGAGGCAGTTTTGTTGCCAAGTATGAAGACTAGTTTTCTACCGTAAATATAAAATAAAATTTTCATTAGACTTTAATTATCAACCATAGTGTGGTGATATCACATTTGATAAAAAAAAATAGTATTACTAATAATGTATGGCAATTTATCATTTGGGTAAGAAGCTTGCGTGATAGTTTCAATTCTCACAAACTGCTTGGTAAATAGTTTTTAGTGGTGAAGGTCCTTACTTACGCTTTTATTGGCTATTACATTATGTCCGTAAAATTCGTCCATAAACATTACAAAATTTCTAAGTCAAAATAAGTAAAGAAGCAACCGTATGGTGTGTCCAAAAATGCATACTAACCTAAATATACAACATTTGGTATATTTTACAACATAATCTCCATTTCAAAAATTACTATACTGTTGTAGTTCAAACTTGGCATGAGCTTTCACTGAGTTTAGGCATTTTGTATAAGAAAAATCATCTAAAAACAATATTAAAATGAGGTGATTACTGTCCAGGCGGTTGTTACAACAAATATCCAAACCGATATAACACAAATCAAGCAGAAATATAAGCCATGTATCTAGGAACGTCATGGGCATATTCCATTCACTTCCCTGGGTTCCACTACGCTTGAGCGCCATGGAGTTCAAAGATCTGAGGTGAGATTTTGAAAATTTAATACTGTATTGATTGGTCTCCATGGCATATGAGAAAAATCCAAATGTTTATGTTTGCATTAACATTAAATGAAATCAAACAGAACTGTTGAATACTTACTTTAAAATGTTATAGAGCTGATCTATAGCAATTAAAATATAATATTGTACACAACTATGTGGAAGGGTTGGCTTCATTTTTAAATTTTTTTTATTGACTATAGAAATAAGTAAGATTCAATAGTTGTTGCTGTATATACCTAGACTAAGTCTCAAAATATATTAACTAATTTAAATTTCACTCTATTATTTATTAATAAGTACCTGGGGACCAAGCTTTGCTCAGGGAACTTGATTAGTATACTCTGAGAGTGTTCTTTGTTCAATATAATCTGACCTGAAAATATTGTTTTGCAGTCTATTTAACTTCTGTTAAAATAATATCGTTGACTGAAATAATAGGAAAAAGTTTTTTTTTATTTGTTTGAAGCCCATAAACTGCTAAACTATAGAAAATGTCCAGTAAGGGTTATGTTATGATTTTACACCTCGGTCACTCACCCTTGTCAGCGGACGTCGCGGACTGCGCTCGAGACTACAGGAGTTGGTGATGGAGCTCGCTCAGGTCGAGTCGACTATGTTCGGCAAAGCTCGGCAGGGTTGAATTAGCACAGGGTGAAGGCATTTTCACGTTGTCCTAAAGAGGGTGGATTTACAAGCGATAAACTGGCACTTTCTCCACGTCTATGGTATATGTGTCAAATTTCAGCTCGAAAACTCTCTGACGTCTATGAATCTTCCATATTAGAATAACTCTATTCCACTTTTCGCGTAATTAAATGACGGAGGACCACAAACTGTACTCACTGCGAATGTACACAGACGCATTGAATGAAATTAATGGAACCAGTTGTGAAATGAACTTGGGTTGTCAGAGCTGAATTATAACGCTACACATAGAGAAAAACACTTGTTGCGAGTGTGTTAATCCAACATTGTAGAATAATAAATTATAATACCACTAATACTTTTAATTTAACTAGGAATTTATTAATGCGATGAATAAATTATTGCTGAATCGAAACTGACTATGTGACCTAAAACTAACTAATGAAATAGAAGGGGTCTGCCTCACACGTCCTATTAAGAGAATGCTATGCTAAAAACTAGTGTTACTCGACCAACACGACAATGAGTACTGATCTATCCCCCAGACTGGGTCCTAGATAACGACTCTAAAGGCAGTTGGAAAGGGTTAGTTTATGTGACCGTATTTGTTCCTTACGCAGAAGGACGGTCTCACTGTTTTTTATAAGCCCGTAGCAGAACGAATGGGTGGTTGATGCGATCGTAAACAACTCTAAATGCTTGACAATATTTGAAATTTGGATAACGTATCTATCTTTTAACAGCATAAATATAAATATACACAATAGATTAAATACATGCAATTACTCTCTCCAACAACACTGTTTATTGAATTACTAGTGGATTATAGGGAGATAAGTCCCTAAAAAGCTCAAATATAAAACAACTTATTGCAACATATTGAACAGAGTACTTTATTGAAGACTTGTTAATCCACCGATCGATTGATTTTCACGATACAGTGTAAGCATATCATGGAGGTATCTAATAATTAAGAGTAATATATAACTAGAGGTCGTCCAGTAGTCGAAAACTCAATAAAAATATGTAATGGACATACTTCTCTATTTTCCCCCATGCTGTAAATAAAACATGTGATTGTAAAATCTTTCATTTGCTGTTTACGTTTCGTTGTTATTTCGTCACCAGCATGGCAGCACATTGGGCCCATGTTTATTTTTTATTTTTTAATTCATTTTAATGCTTATTTTTGGCTTGTTTTAATTTATAAAAGTATCCTGTAAAATATCTTTCAAAACATCTTTCTTTTTCGTCTACAGGAAAATATTTTTCAAACAGTATGCATAGATTTTCCCTGTGATGCACAATTTTTTTAAAAGAAACATGCTTGCCTATATACACAGTGGCTTAAAAGTAACTTGCACCCACCCCCTTAACTTTTGAACCTTTTGAGATATTTGAAATCTGTTTAAGGCAACCTTCTTAGAAATGAGAGGCTACAATAATAGTGGTTGATTTTGAAAATTTTGCCCTTATGGGAAACGGGGGTAGCTCAAAATTTTCAAAAAAACAAGTATAGTCGAGTTTGGTATCATTTTACAGGTCTTAAAAAAACAATTGACATAAAGAAAACCAAAATTGGCCCACTAATAACAAAATGGTACCCTTAGACAATCGAAATCATAAGGGTGGCTGACAATTAACTTGCACCCCTCTTATTTTTTTAACTATTTGAGAAATTTGAAATTGGTTTGCGGCAACCTGTTTGGATATAAAAGACTACAATAATGATGGTTAATTTAAAACATTTTCCCTTAGGAGTAGTGGGGGTTGGGGGTAGCAAGAAAATAGAACTCGGACCATGAATAACGAAATGGCAGCTAAAATGATTAAGACAATGGTTATTAAAGGTAATTTTTAACTGCAATTTTGTTTTTAGTGGTCCGATTTCTATTTCGTTTATTTTAATTGATTAGTTTTGTCAAGACCGGTAAATTGATATCAAACTCGACCATACTCATACTCATACCCATACTCGATCATACTTCATATTTGAACATTTTTACTTACACCCTACCCCCACTACCCCTAAGGGCAAAATATTAAAATTACCATTATTACTGTAGCCCCTCATATCTAAACAGGTTCTTGCAAACCGATTTCAAATATCTCAAATAGTTGAAAAGTTAAAAAGTGGTCAAGTTAATTTTAAACCACCCTCATGGTTATTTGGATTGGAACAGCTTTAGGGCACCATTTTGTTATTAGTGGGCCGATTTTGGTTTTCTTTATGTCAATTATTTGGTTCATCAAGACCTATAAAATGATACCAAACTCAACTATACTTGCCATTTGAAAATTTTAAGCTACCCATTATCCCCGCTACCTCTAAAGGCAAAAATTTCAAAATTGACCATAATTATTGTAGCCCTTTATATCTAGGAAGGTTGCCGCAAATCGATTTCAAATATCTCAAATGGTTGAAGAGTTAAGGGGGAGGGGGTGCAAGTTACTTTTCAGCCACCCTGTGTAGAATAGCAACCTGCGTCACTTCGTGACTTCAAATTCCGTGATATATTTTATACATAGCGGATAAGGATTATGTCTCATCATATCCCTATTATTTGCATTGTGAGCCCTATTATTTTCATTTCGTGCACGATCCCTTCGAGACATCTTAGAAAAGTTTGAAATACTAACAAAAATAAAAAATGCTATGAAAACACAACATATAACGTACTTACGTTATATGTTGTGTTTTCATAGCATTTTTTATTTTTATTTTATTTTTTTAATTTTTTTATTTATTTTATTTTTTTTATTTCATTTTATTTTTATTATTTTTTTTATTTTATTCTTTACATTTTATGCAACCAACATTACGACATTTACAATTTATACAAATGACATTACAACATTTCACTTGACTTCACTTAAACATCGCCAACTACAGATAACCCCATTTTCGTATGGATGTAAAAAAATTGTATCATGGCTATCTGTGTTGATTGAAAAAGTTCAGATGATTGAAAACAGAATTAAGCAGAAACTATGCACTTTTAAAAGCCTTTAAAACGATGGGATTAGGCGGGATATCATCCAAACCCACAAAAGGTACATCTAGAGGATAAGAGCTTTAAATTGATTCCTAATATGTCTATAAAAAATATTAAGGGGTCGATTTGCTGCACACAAAAATCCAACAAATTATTTTATAATATAGATACGAAGGGTACATTAGAAACTGGAGATTACTTCATATTTAGGTACAAAAATATACTAACATAGTTTTAAGCTCTGGTATGGTCAAAAGGTTTTATTTCAAAAATGTTGTGGGATATTGGATGTGTTAAAATCTAGATGTGTGTTTAAGACCTCGCTACGAAGGAAAATTATGCGGGACCTCGAAAGTGATGTTAGTTTTAATTTGTGTTTAGGACCTCGTTGGTTAGGGAAATAATGCGGGACCTCGAAAGTGTTGATATGATGTTTTGTGCTTAGGACCTCGATTTTGAGGAAAATAGTGCGGGACCTCGGAGGTGTTATTACTTTTAATTTGTGTTTAGGACCTCGTTGGTGAGGGAAATAATGCGGGACCTCGAATGTGTTGATATGATGTTTTGTGCTTAGGACCTCGTTGTTGAGGGAAATGATGCGGGACCTCGGAGGTGTTATTACTTTTAATTTGTGTTTAGGACCTCGTTGGTGAGGGAAATAATGCGGGACCTCGGATATGTTGATATCTTGATTTGTGCATAGGACCTCGTTTTTTAGGGAAATGATGCGGGACCTCGGAGGTGTTGTTACTTTTAATTTGTGTTTAGGGCCTCGTTGGTGAGGGAAATGATGCGGTACCTCGGAGGTGTTGTTACTTTTAATTTGTGCTTAGGACCTCATTTTTTAGGGAAATGATGCGGGACCTCGGAGGTGTTGTTACTTTTAATTTGTGCATAGGACCTCGTTTTTTAGGGAAATGATGCGGGACCTCGGAGGTGTTGTTACTTTTAATTTGTGTTTAGGGCCTCGTTGGTGAGGGAAATGATGCGGTACCTCGGAGGTGTTGTTACTTTTAATTTGTGCTTAGGACCTCGTTTTTGAGGGAAATAATGCGGGACCTCGGAGGTGTTATTACTTTTAATTTGTGTTTAGGGCCTCGTTGGTGAGGGAAATAATGCGGGACCTCGGAGGTGTTGTTAGTTAAAATTTGTGTTAAACACCTCGTTACGAAGGAAAACTATGCGGGACCTTGGATATGTTGATATCTTAATTTGTGCTTAGGACCTCATCTTGGAGGGAAATAATGTGGGACCTAGGAATTTTGGACATCTTCGTTTGTGCTTAGGATGTTTTGGGGGGAAATAACGAGATACCTTGGAGTTGTTGGCAAACGATGAATTTCCGGTCATAGGTTCATTTTAATATTTTGCTTGTGTTAGCTGCTGAGTTATATCTAAAAGTATTGAAGATTATGTAGGAAACACCAGATACACAGTTTACAGTATAAATAAAGTAAGGTAAAAGAGTCGGTGCACAATAATAGTACGGATGACAATAATAATTATGAATAAATAATACATATAATAGCAATAAACAGTTTTATATGTAATAAAAGCAAAACGACACACTCATATTTGTCACATATCCTTCGACACACTGTTGTTGTCGAAGGAACCGAAGCTCCCCAACGAATACCCGGTAGGTACCTAATCGCTCATACCCGGGTCCCATGGCATAGGCCGGAGCTTATGCACCAACCCTGAACACACCATGGGGTGGATGACTTCAAGCTCACCATCAAGCCCCCGTTACCTCCCCTTTCGGGGCTAGACTTCCCCGTTTTTCACCTCCCAAGAAGTGGCTACTTCCAGAGCCGAGGATATGCCTTACAAAATATCAGTCGTACACATCAGGCAGGGCAAAGAACCACAAGAACCAAAGAACCACAGTCACAGGCAGATGATAGACCGAAGTCAACCTGGATGGAGGAATATCACTGGGGACTCTCTCTTTGGGTACAACCCAAAGATGCTGGCTTGCCCAGTCGTCCATAACTGTGGCCAACCTGAAATGCCGGTTCTGACACCGGACACTGGGGGGGACACACTCATATAACAGAAATCCTAAACTTAATTCAGAAGTCCTCGTTTATGCTAACTGGGCCCAAAGTGGTTAGGTCCTCGATTATGCTTATTAGGGCCGAAGTGTTTAGGACCTCGTTTTCGTGCATTGGACTGACATTTTTAAAGTCATCGATAAAATTTAAAAAAATGCATAAACGTACTATATTATGCATCTTAAGTTATACTAAAGCGTTTACAAAAAATTAAATATATTATTTTTAATGTAATAAGGATTTTTGTTAGAAGTCCCCCATCATGATGATTGGGCTCGAGTACCTCGGTTGTGATGGTTCCGCCGCACTTAGTACAATCGAGGTCCTCTTACAAACATGTGTGCGCGTGTGTGTGTGCGTGTGTGTCGCCCACGCCTAACCCAGTGCCAAAGTGACATATGTCGCGTTACGAAAATCTGACATGTTAATTGTTGTCTTAACGATAAGTGACGCAATTGTCTTACCAAGCCAATCCCCTATTGTTGTAACACGTGTAACATTTTTATCAGTTATTTTTTTTTTTACATGTCTGTAAGAATTCATTCGTAATAATAAATTCAGACCCTCAAGTCATGGAAAGCTAGAAACCGTACGAAATAATTATGATTTAATTTTACATTTTAACATTCTGCTATTTAATAGACAGTGTTAGTTAAAGCATTGACTATTGTAGTAAAATATTAAAGTAATTCAAATGAGCTACTAGCATAGACATAAGTCCCTAAAACGCTCAAACGAACAAATTATTGTTATATTTAAACAAACTAAGAATCAAATGATCATACACGCAGCAGCTCTGAAAATTGTGAGTTACAGTAAACATTTTTAGATAACTTTAGTGAAAGCAGAATTATTCACCTCAATCATTTTATGATTAGTTAACAAACTTCACGCACTCTATAAAAAATCCATCATCCTTCAAGCAGTCAAACTCTCACTATTTGGATTTTAAAAATTAGCTTACGGAATTATTGTTTCATATTCTTGTTTGTTGTTTTGTTGTTAATATTGCTGTTGTGTGTGTTGTTGTATAACATTGTTGTTCGGAGTTAGAGTTTGTATTTGGACTTGACCAAATCTTTAATTTAAGCCCCCTCCCATCATCCTTCGAGCAGTCAAACTCTCACTAATTTGATTTTAAAAACTAGCTTACGGAATTATTGTTTAATATTCTTGTTTGTTGTTTTTTTGTTGTTAATATTGTTGTTGTGTGTGTTGTATAACTTTGTTGTTCGGAGTTATAGTTTGTATTTGGACTTGACCAAATCTTTAATTTATGCCCTCTCCCATCATCCTTCGAGCAGTCAAACTCTCACTAATTTGATTTTAAAAATTAGCTTACGGAATTATTGTTTAATATTTTTGTTTGTTGTCTTTTTGTTGTATAACTTTGTCGTTCGGAGTTATAGTTCGTATTTGGACTTGTAATAATCAGTATGTAACAATATAGATAAATTAAATGAACCAAGCAAACAAACAAATTACAGTATTTTATAGCCCGGTTTATAAGGTTGAAAGTTCAATTTATTGTCTATCAGTAGGTTATAACAAAAATGGTTACTGTGATCACACAGGAACTATAAAAGTTGTAAATTTAAACGGTATAATATTTGTAATGACATAGTATTTTAAAAGTATAGCTACATAAGGATCTTTCTACCCATTCTGCTTTGTTGTCTTGTCAGAGATAAGGTTGACCTTTTACTGAGAATCATTATTTTCGGACTCGATGATTAATAGTTGCGCTGTCTAGGTTTTAACCTTGATATAATTGACCTTTACTGATCAACGATGGAATCTAAAATACTACTTTAGTGCAACGCACGTTTTTAAATCGGCTGCTTTTACTGTAATATGTGTAACGCACATGATTGTCATGCTAAAAGAAGTGAAACTAAGGATGTATATAAATTTTAAGACACATCTAAATAGAGCAAGAGCCCATGACTGCCAGACCTTCGTCATTTTATAAAAGTTGAAAATTTCTCAGCAAATGCTCCCGGTTCAGATAAGAATGATCGGCAACTATGACATTTGGATTTTGGTTACTTTGGCAACAAAAAGGTAACAAAGGTCTGAAATTTGCAAAAAACCATCGTTATAGTATAAAACTTGGTTCTTTCATATTTTCTTCAGAGGAGAGTGTTAGAAATCATTTCCCCCATTGCTAGACACTTTGTGCGGTTTAAACCCTCTGCCAGACACCCTTAAAAATTAGGTATGACGAAGATTAATTTTCGTCATTTTATAAAAGCTGAAATTGATATATGTTATTTGGGGAGCTATCAAAAGACGTTTTCTCAAAAGCCAGACACTTTCGTTGGTAACTTAATCTAGCCAAACGCTTTAAAGTCTGCCGTGATTGTTACCTGCAAACAGTGAATTCAGTTCCAGTTTGGAACAGGTTTCTTTGCCAAATGTAAACGGTTACATTACTAATTTCTTCATCACAGTCTGTTTTTATAATAAACCATATGTTTGATGTAAACATATGTTTTATTTGCATTTAATTGTTTGTTTATTCCTGCAGTGTTTTGAAAATATGTAATTATGTTCTAAAACCTTTGAACACCTTTGGTTTATTTATTGTGATAATTTGAAATATGTGTTCTTTAGTAACACATTTAATTATTGCGCTAATTTATATCATAGTATAAAAGCTGAATTTGATGTATGTTACTTGGGAAGCTATAAAGATACATTTCTTCAAGAGCCAGACCCTTTCGTTGGTTATTTCATCTCGCCAGACACTTTAAATCCTGCTGTAATATAATAGTTAGCTGTGGGCTTAACTGCTACATACGAATAGTGACTTCTGTTACAGTTTGGAATAGGTTTCTGTGCCAAATGTAAACGGTAAAATCACACCTTTTTTCTAATCGTAATTGCGTTAATTTATATCATAGTATAAAAGCTGAATTTGATGTATGTTACTTGGGAAGCTATAAAGATACATTTCCTCAAGAGCCAGACACTTTCGTTGGTTATTTCATCTGGCCAGACACTTTAAAATCCTGCTGTAATATAATAGGTAGTTGTACATATTTTAAGCCATGTATGTTCTTTGCTTACATATTTACTCAATGTACTTATTTTTTTACCTCTTGACATTTTTTTTATTGTATTAATTAGGTTACATATTTACAGACACTGAAGAAGAAAGCGACTTTGAAAATTATGACTGGAATGAAGACCATGAAATGAAAGTTTCTATGACGATTACGAAGAAAATGATGATTCCTTCAATTGCCATTCCCTATCTCCCTAATTCCACATAAATGGAAAACGTATTTTATCTTTGTGGGTAGTTTTTGTATCTCAAGACTTTAAATTAAATTATTAAATTGTTTAAGTTATTTATTAACAAATGAATAAAAGTGGTTTTGTGTTTTAGTATTTATGAAAACTTCCATAGTGATAAGATTGATCATTTTCGGCAAATAAAAAAAAACATTAATAAATAAAACCTGATTAAACAGGACTTCTGTAACAAAGGTCACTGTTCGTATGTAGCAGTTAAGCCCATAACTACCTATTATATTACAGCAGACTTTTAAAGTGTCTGGCGTGATCAAATAACCAACGAAACAGTCTGGCTCTTGAGGAAATGTCTCTTCATAGCTTCCCAAGTAACACATTTCAAATTCAGTTTTATACTATGAAATAATTAAATGCGCAATAATTAAATGTGTTACTAAAGAACACATATTTCAAATTATCACAATAAATAAACCAAAGGTGTTCAAAGGTTTTAGAACATAATTACATATTTTCAAAACACTGCAGGAATAAACAAACAATTAAATGCAAATAAAACATATGTTTACATCAAACATATGGTTTATTATAAAAACAGACTGTGATGAAGAAATTAGTAATGTAACCGCTTACATTTGGCAAAGAAACCTGTTCCAAACTGGAACTGAATTCACTGTTTGCAGGTAACAATCGCGGCAGACTTTAAAGTGTCTGGCTAGATGAAGTTACCAACGAAAGTGTCTGGCTTTTGAGAAAACGTCTTTTGATAGCTCCCCAAATAACATATATCAATTTCAGCTTTTATAAAATGACGAAAATTAATCTTCGTCATACCTAAGTTTTAAGGGTGTCTGGCAGAGGGTTTAAACCGCACAAAGTGTCTGGCAATGGGGGAAATGATTTCTTATACTCTCCTCTGAAGAAAATATGAAAGAACCAAGCTTTATACTATAACGATGGTTTTTTGCAAATTTCAGACCTTTGTTACCTTTTTGTTGCCAAAGTAACCAAAATCCAAATGTCATAGTTGCCGATCATTCTTAACTGAACCGGGAGCATTTGCTGAGAAATTTTCAGCTTTTATAAAATGACGAAGGTCTGGCAGTCATGGGCTCTTGGGCTAAAAGGCACATACAATATAGGCCTACAAACACTCTAATTCAAAAATTACGTGAACTAAAACTCAAATAGTGCATTACAATTATAACTAATATAAATTATTATCATTAATTATATTTACTCCTGGACCAGATAACCCCATTACTCCAGGTTGCAACCATCAAAACATCATTTCTGCCATAACTGTCTCAATTACTCGAACCTTCACGCTGTCTATTATCGACGGAGAACATCTGATCACTCTCTCCACTGCACTTCCAATGGAGTTCAAGGGAGCACGGTGCCCTATACAGCCAACTATCCCGCCTCTACCATCAGTGTAGGTTAACAGTTCTAGTCATTACAAATCCTGCGAGAACCAAACACTTATTCGTGACTTGACCTAAAATAGGACAAAATGAGTAAATATTTTTAAACTTATCGAAATTGAGGAAATTAGAAGGGTGTTTATTAACTCAACCCAAATTACGAGTACCGATAGACACTGTTTAAGGGCAAAAGAAGCTCATATTTTAGCAGACCTGTATCCTTTGATTCGTGGACGAGGATTATATACATTGTTGCACTACTACTTACAAGATTTAGTTTTGTAGAAAAGTTTATTGCGATTAAGACTCAACAT